AAGTCCGCATGGAGTTTGCTAAAAAACACCTGAAGGACTCCAAGATGGTGAGAAATAAGATTCTCTGGTCTGATGAGACCAAGATAGAACTTTTTGGCCTTAATTCTAAGCGGTATGTGTGGAGAAAACCAGGCACTGCTCATCACCTGTCCAATACAGTCCCAACAGTGAAGCATGGTGGTGGCAGCCTCATGCTATGGGGGTGTTTTTCAGCTGCAGGGACCGGACGACTGGTTGCAATCGAGGGAAGGGTGAATGCGGCCAAGTACAGGGATATCCTGGACGAAAACCTTCTCCAGAGTGCTCAGGACCTCAGACTGGGCCGAAGGTTCACCTTCCAACAAGACAATGACCCTAAGCACACAGCTAAAATAACGAAGGAGTGGCTTCCCAACAACTCCGTGACTGTTCTTGAATGGCCCAGCCAGAGCCCTGACTTAAACCCCATTGAGCATCTCTGGAGAGACCTGAAAATGGCTGTCCACCAACGTTTACCATCCAACCTGACAGCACTGGAGAGGATCTGCAAGGAGGAATGGCAGAGGATCCCCAAATGCAGGTGTGAAAACTTGTTGCATCATTCCCAAAAAGACTCATGGCTGTATTAGCTCAACAGGGTGCTTCTACTAAATACTGAGCAAAGGGTCTGAATACTTATGACCATGTGATATTTCAGTTTTTCTTTTTTAATAAATCTGCAAAAATGTCAAAAATTCTGTGTTTTTCTGTCAATATGGGGTGCTGTGTGTACATTAATGAGGAAAAAAATGAACTTAAATGATTTTAGCATATGGCTGCAATATAACAAAGAGTGAAAAATTTAAGGGGGTCTGAATACTTTCCGTACCCACTGTATCTATAAAAAAGGCATCCTGACCTGAATTTAATAGCATCTCAGAATCTAATGCACGTTTGATCCTTGTTACTCATTTCACTGCAAAAACTCAAACTGCTTCAAACTAATCTTGAGATTTTTCTCCAAGCAAAGGTCAGATGAAGTGGTCACATTCTACTGATTGCAATTATGAAGTGTATTCTCTTCCATGATGAGTAAATCAATAATACATGCTTAGTCAAACAGAACCACCGAGTCAAATGAGTATTCGACAACAGGAAATGAAATTGTGGGTTATTTGTTAGATCCTCTGTGGAAAATTAACAGCGATCGTCTGTTTTTCCTCAGAGGACAGAATAAGGGCACTTTGTAAATAGCTCTGAGGGACGTGAAACACAATGATGAGGATGACAACAGGTGATGGAATGAAACAGTCGCTAATGAAAAAGAAAAACTGGATCATTTTGCTTCAAGCAGGAATATTTCTTTTGGAGTACTGGCTTTTCCAGGAAAATGCTAATATTTTTTCTGCCCCTCAATACACAACTGTTTAGGTAGCACATAAGAATGTTCAATACTAATATCAACATTTATCAAATTAATAACAAGAGAAGATGTTTGGTAATTACACAGTCTCCTCGGTATGATGCTCCAGAAGTAACCAACAAGCCAAAAGTGTATTTGAACAAATAAATAAATAATACAGTCAGCTGAATAATTTATAGTTATAGTTTAAAAGGTTTATTCATCTTGTACTGATGCTGTAACTCTTCATATTTCCCATTTTCCTCATTCTGGCAAACATTTTATCAGTTATCTCGTTTTGTTTTGCTCCAAACATTTTCCTTGTTGTTTACTTACATAATTAGCTCATTGTTTTGTGTAACAGTCTGGAAATTCAGCTGTAGGAAATATCACAACAAACCAAAGATACAAACTAGATCTTTCAGTCTTTTTCAAGTCGTGTCTTTTTTTCCTTACCATGTTAATAACAGGTTGGCATCCAATGTGCAATTAATTAACTAAGCTAACAGTTTTTAACGATGACGTGCTTACAGTAATTCAGACTAGCCTATATTCATTAACATGAGACACACCCTAGATCTGTGATTAGCCTGTGTTGACTCTAACATGCTCTTTTCAATATAACAAAATGCAAAACACAAAAGTGAGATGTGAAGAAAAAGGATAAATATTGTAAAATATTATGAACAAATGGGAAATG